TTCTCAAACCAGGCTCTCGGTGCCTGTTTGAGACCATATAAGGAACGATGAAGCAAGCAGACTTGGCCAGGCTTTCCTACTCGATATCCCGGGGGTCGTTCCATGTAAATAACTTCATCCAGATCACCGTGTAGAAACGCATTCTTGACATCAAGTTTAAGGAGAGACCACTGTTTTTGAGCAGCAACTGCAAGCAAGACTCGAACAGTTGACATCTTTGCCACAGGAGCAAAAGTCTCGTGGTAATCAACCCCCTGCTCCTGTGTGTAGCCAAGGGAAACAATGCGTGCCCGGTAACGTTCGATTGTACCATCGGGATGAACCTTGATAGTGTAGACCCACCGGCTGCCAACGGTAGGAGTGTCCGGTGAAGGACGATCAACCACGGTCCAAGTATTATTCGCGTGCATGGCGTCAGTCTCGCAATCCATGGCAGCTTCCCATGACGGATTTCCTTGTGCTTGCTTGTAAGAATTAGGAATGTGCTCTGCATCAACATTGTGGACTACGTAATCTTGGTACCTAGGAGGAGGAATACCCTGTGTCACTCGCAAGGATCGGCGAAGTTGTGGCTGTGGAGCTGCAGGCGGCATGTGAGCTGATGTGGAAGTAGTAGTGGATGACGAGGAAGAACTTGTAGAAGGGCCTGGGCTGGCTGTGATTGAAGGCGTGGGAGGTGGGGATGCCGCATCATCAGGAGGGAGTAGCACAGGGTCATCAGCCGGGTCATCATCAAAATAAAAAGAAGGAAGAGACTCAAAACCAGGAAAAACAGACTCAAGAGTGGATGGACGTTCAAAAAAAGGTAAGTTTTCAAAGAACACAACAGTAGCCGCAATCCTAATACGCTGAGTAGTGGGATCAAAGCACATATAACCTTTATGGACGTCACTATATCCTAAGAAAGCACAACAAGCTGTTTTGGAGGTCAGTTTGGTACGCTCTCGTTTAGGAAGAAGAACGAAACACGTACAACCAAAGACACGGAGACGAGAGTAATCAGGATGACAAGAGTAGAGAGCAAAGTACGGACTAGTGTTACCCAAAACAGTCGTAATCTGATAATTTATCAGTTTTACTGCCGTTGCCACAGCTTCAGGCCAAAAACGACCAGGAACATATGACGCAAGCAACAAAGCTCTGGTAGTTCCAAAACATGACGGTTTTTACGTTCCACTAGTCCATTTTGTTGAGAAACACCTGGGCAAAATTTTTGACACAGAATACCACGATCCCGATACACATCACGCAAAGGGAATGAACTAAATTCTCCTCCAGGATCGGATCGTATTATTTTGACTGTATGGCCGAACTGGGTCTGAATCATGTTTAGAAACTCAATAGCTACAGCACGAAGTTCGGATTTAAGACGAAGAAAGTATATCCAGGTGAAACGAGTAGCATGGTCAATGAACAACGCAAAATATCGAAAACCATGCTTACTGAGAGTAGGGGAAGGACCCCAGAGATCGGTATGGACAAGATGAAATGGGTCTTTTATAACAGTGACACTAGAAGGAAATGAAATGCTGACAGTCTTAGCTTCTACACAGCTTTTACAAGAATGAGAACCTGTAATCCCAACATTGTTTTTGCCAAGAAGCGATTTTTGAAACATAAGAGACAACCGACTAGTATGTGGATGCCCTAGCCGTGAATGCCAAAGATCCCATACATTATTCGAAATACTAGAAAACACAAAATAAGGACTACTAACAGACCTATGATCATGACTACTGACATTCGACGAAACAGATTGCCCATTCAATTCCTCTAAATGAAATAACCGGCCTCGCCTACTCCCCCTTCCGATCGGCTGCCCCGTCTTCAAATCCTGTACAATACACCCAGACGGAGCAAACACCACAGAATAACCCTGCTCAGTAAGTTGTCCAACCGAAACTAGATTGGGTACAAGTTGAGGAACATGCAGGGTATTATGTAAAGAAATGGAATCAGTTATGACATTGCCTACTCCACGCACTGCCAATTTTTCACCATTAGCAACAGTCAATTCCATTTCTTTAATTGGTTCCACATTTTTTAACACTTCTTATTTCCGTGTCATATGATTAAAGCAAGCACTATCCATGAGCCATGCTGTCGAATTACCTGATCCTTGAAGTGTTGCGAATGCGGCACTAATGGCGGTTGGAAGTGAGCGTTGTAGAGCAGCATTTACCATTTGTTCCACCATGTCTGCTGTCATTCCTGAGCTGCTGCCAGCTTCAAGGTGCGGAGCACCATTATTAGTAACTTGTGGCCCATAACAAGGACGCCCAGCAGCAGCCCCATTGTTGTAATGGTTGGGTAGGTAAGTAGCATAGGTGGGGCGATCTCCATAACCTGAACGAGGAGCACAAGGCCCTTGCCGATCGCCTGGACATCCACCTCGAACTCAAGAACAATGTGCCCCATCCGCTTACAATAAACACAAAAGTTCCGTCGTTTGCAATGCTTTTGCAGGTGGCCCTTCTCCCGGCAGTGGTGGCACTCCAATTCCGTCGCAGGTAATCGTCTTTGAAATTGGGGGCGCTCGACAGCATACGCAAAAGAGCTTGAACCACCATTTTTAGGCGCTGAAACAGCAGCAGCCACGAGAGTCTCACCCTCGCCAGGTCGTTGATCAAGCAAAGCCTGAGTTCTCATCCTAGTCTCCTCACTCACAAGAGTGGCCAGGACTCCATCAAAATTCAGAACGTCTTTATTGAGCAGAGCCGAACGTACAGCCTCGAAATCAGGCCTCAATCGCATCAAGAATTCCAAAATTCTGGTGCGTTGCCTTTCTTCAATTGCATCGTCGGTCAGCGCAGCTTGCGGCCTAAGAGCGGCTTGAATCAAGTCTTGTTCAGTCCACAGTTCTTGAGCTCGATTAAAGTATTCAGTCACGGATTTATCTCCTTGCTCCAGGCGAGCAATGGACATCTGGATCTCAAACTGACGGGCTGGATTGACAGTGGAATACAGAGCCGTCAAGTGTCTCCACATCCTATTTGCAGTCGGAAATAATCTCAAACTTAGACAGGTAGAAGCATCAACACTGTCCAGTAGCCAAGATCGCACGCGTGCATCATTTTGGCTCCACAGGGCACATTCTTGTGATGTCACTGCGCCGGCGGCCGGCTGCGGCTGTGTTCCATCCAATATACCCAGCAAACCCCGGCCTTCCACGAAGACACGGAATTGGAATTCCCATAGCGGAAAGTTCGTTGACGTGAGACGCACTGAGGGTCTCGCAGATTCGATTTGCGTAAGCTCTGATACCATGTTGATAACTCAAACAGTAACGGAAATGACAAACACCGATTTACGTGGTATCCCTGGATGATCCAGGACTAATCCACGGAGGAGTATGAAGACTCCTCAGCTACTGATGTACTGATGATAATCGTGTAAGTATTACAGTTTACAAATGCGGCTGAAGAAGCTTTTATATCTCAAGCTTGGCCGAACCCTAGAACTATTAGGTTTCTACGTAGCTCTCCTAATGTTAAAGGGCTGCATGGGCCTTTAATTAACCATTGGGCTATCCGATCTTACGTGAACACCACTAATGCTACACTACACTACATAAGCACAGCATATATAATCAACAATTTCACAATATGTCAATGTCAACGATTAGTTGGTTGCTCATCTTACTACATGAATACGAAAATAGTTGAATTAGATGTTTGAAATATATTTGAAACACAATTATATCTACAATGGTAATGTGTTTAATAACTCTATAACAATGCTCTTCTGTCTAATTACTTCAAGATCGTTGTTTCGGTAAAAAAAACTTGTTTTTTTGGTTCAAGTCTTATATGGTATCTTCCTCTTAAGGCGATAACAACAATTGGATAGTTATGGAATACACACCAAATTAACTTCTCCTTTTCTTTACTAATATGGTTCTCAGTCTGCAAGGTGACCAGTCGATCGAATCGGTTCAACCCGGATCAGGTGTCAAACTAGGGAAACATATCTAGGAGGAAGTCGATCTAGACCTGATAAAATTAGGAGAAACCGGCTTATTTGACTGTCTAACTAGTTCCTTGGTTAGTATTTCAAAAGAAAGTTGGAATTTTAAAACAAAACTTGTGAGATTTAAACCTTGAATCTCAAGTTCATAAATCAACAATTTCATTAATATACTACATAATGATTTGTGTTAATATTATGCAATATCTTACAACATACTTACTTTTGTACCACAGTGGAATATCTATTGATTCGGACAGCCACACGAAGTTTAAGACTTAATTAAACTGTGATGTGCTTGATGAAATATTTTTGACATTTCTAATATCGCTAATGCATTTTGTAGATGAAAATTGATGGTTTTCTTTGAAGATGGACTACTTCAATTTTTATTTTTTGAATTCTAAGTATGACTTTTTGAATATTAATATTTAATGGTGTATATTGACTTAAAGTACACTAGATGTTTGTGCTATTTTGTTGGAGTTAAAGTATAAACATTTTGATGTTGACTTATATGTTGTATTCAAGTATATGAACATTTTTATTTTGATGTAATATTATATTTTATCTGAATATGAATATCAAATAATTGTTAAAACTTTAAATACCTTTTATATACTACATTAGTACTGTAATCACTAATCGATTATTAGCGGTTAAATTGTTAACTGATTGTAAGTTAGTGGTCTGGTTACTTAACGGGAGTAAACGGATTTGACATTTGAGTAGTTAACTCTTAATCCACCTTATCGATGCAGGCTACTTGCAGTTGCAGGCTGCAGCCTTCTTTACCAGAAAAAGTTTTTTTTGATAGGTCTTTACCAGAAAAAGTTAACGACGGGAAAATAACAGAAACTCCTTAGTCCTCATAATAATACACCCGAGCACAGCTGATCTCTATCAAACTCTTCCCTCCAAATAAGTACTGACGTGTCAAACATTCATTGGCTATTTCTCAACCACCTCTCCCTCCAAATCGTATTTCTTTTTCGCGCAATAATCATTTCTTGTTTTTTTTTTTTTGGTTTCTTTTTCGCTTTCTCTTTTCTTTCAACTCCATTTTTACTAAGAGCTCAATCTCTTTGTAGCTATAAATCCAAAATGAGGAGACCCTCCGATTTCTAGCTCCCGAATTCCCACTTTCCTCCCTCACCGTTCTTCCCCGCCGGCTAGATTTCCGTTAATCGGAAGCTTTTTCTCACCCTGACATAACATGGCCGGAGAGTTCGAGACCTCAGTCGCATACGGGCTCAAGCTGTCCAAGCGAATCTACTACGGCAAACAATCTGCCGCCGCGGCGCCGGCGGCACCAACTCCGCCGGAGATGGTGCGGCAGATGTCCAGGAGGTCGTCCACCGGCGGCGGAAGCGACCAGCAGATCAGCTACTTGCCGACAGCGGTCACTGTTTACGCGATGGTGTCGGAGCCGGAGGCAGTGGACAATCCCGACGTGCCCAGCTACCAGCCGTACGTGCACGGCCGGTGCGATCCGCCGGCGCTGATACCGCTCCACATGTACGGGGCGGAATTGGAGGTGGACTGCTGCTTGGACCACGCGCGCGTCGGATTCGCGGGACGGTGGCGCGTGCACTGCGTCAAGACCGGGCGGACCTGCGACTGCCGCGTGGCGGTTCCGATGGGCGAGAAGGTTAGTGATCGGGAGCGAGAGATATCTCTGCTCTACTGGATTAGCATTGCCGGTTCTACTTTTGTTTGTTTGTGGTTAGTCCGTCCGGTATGTGTTCGATAAAATGCTTGTGTGGGAAGAACTGAGGAAAGGAAAATTTGATGCTTGGCTAATAGTAAGTACTAATAGCAGGGTACAATTCTGAGTGTAGAGGTTGGAGTAACGGGAAGGTTGTACCATAGCCGATTGATGACGGCGGATGATGCAGACGAGTTGTCGAAAGCAAGCAAAGCAGTTGGCGGAGATGGGCGATACTTGAAAGGCAACGTCTACACTTTCAGAATTCCACAGGTGACAAAAGAAACGTTTCTTTCCCGTTTTATTACAAGTTCTCGTTTGCTGAAAGATCACAAAGAGCCTATGAGTACTTTCAAATTTCAATGAAGCCTAGGTTGCTAATTGTCCAGAACCACTTCATTCCAATAGCAGAGTGGTTAGGAGACGCTAAAGCCATATCAGGAAGCTAATTTTTCCAGACAATTACATTTCCCAAAATGGACTATTGTTTGGCTTATTCATCTACATGGATGGTGCTATTTGCATTGGTTGTCAGGCATTTCTGTTTCATTCATGTATTGATGGGCCTTCTTTTGGTTTGCATTGTGTCATTAGATTGCAGGGGGTTCTATGATATCAGTAAAAGTGAGCTGGTCGCAGAAGTTGGTATATGGAGGGGGTCAATTCAGCCTTGACGTGCCATTTAGTTTTCCATCGTTTGTCAATCCGATCGGCACCAGGATCTGCAGAAGAGAGAAGATAATGTTGAACGTGAACTCTGGTATCGACAAGGAAATCTCATTCAAGAGCAGCAGCCACGGCCTGACGGTAACTTTGATCATCTTGATTCTGCTATGAGAATATATTGTTGGCTTTGAATGATAGACCTAGAATATGTCGGCTGGGTTTTCTTGTCCGCAGGAGTTAAGGAGAGAAGTTGGCAAAATTGGGTTTTCGTATGAAGCACAAGTCAATACTTGGTCAATTTCCAACTTCAGTTTCTCTTACTCTGTAAGTGTAATGCTGTGAATGTTTCTGTGCTGTGATTCTGTGCCTTGGGTGGAATTGACCTTAGCTATGATTCTGTGCTTGGTTATGTAGGTCTGTTCCGCAGATTTATTTGGTGGTGTACTCTTGCAGTCACCATTTCTGAGAGATTTCGAGGAAAGGCAAATGTTCTGTTTGCATCTCTTCCCTGGAACTAACCAACCTAGGAAGGTTAGCTACTCACTGAACTAACCCTTATCAATTCTTCTGCCTGCATCTGTTGATACTTAACTGCCAAATCTTCCTTCATTTTGTTTGTCTTCTGATAGGCTTTTAGGAAGGAGGTGGTATTTGTAGTTGATATCAGTGGGAGCGTGAAAGGAGATCCTCTTGAAAACACCAAAAATGCAATATTGTCATCACTATACAAGCTGAATCAGGAGGATTCTTTCAACATCATCGCTTTCAACAGGGAAATGTACTTATTCTCGCCCTTGATGGAGCCCGCAACCCCAGAAACAATAGTCAAGGCTAACCAATGGCTTAATGACAAGTTACTTGCAGAAGGGGGTACCAACATTTTGCCTCCTCTTCAACAGGTATGGCAAATGCTGCAAGTTATCGTGTCTAATAAGGAAAGGTCTATGCAGTCTCCTGTTTCTTGTTCCTAAGTATTTTAGGGCTGAGTGACTCTGCAATGGACCTTATTGTTTAGGCCATGAAGCTCTTGGCTGAAACATCCAATTCAATTCCTCTCATTTTCCTCGTCACTGATGGAACCGTTGAGGACGAGAGAGACATCTGCAATTTCGTCAAAGCTTCACTTGCTAGTGCAGCAACCGAAACTTCCATTTCTCCTCGCATATGTACATTTGGTATAGGTAAGGGTTTTTTTTCTTTGGGAGATCAGGGTACCCATTTCCGGATGCAAAATAGATGACTACAAATCGCTTACCTATGATCTCAAGAATCATTAACCCTTTATGGGAAAACCATTTCCACAGGTTCATACTGCAATCATTACTTCTTGCAAATGCTGGCTCAAGTTTCCAAGGGCCATTTCGATTGTGCTTTTGATGCAGGTCAGTCCAGATATTCTGATTCAATAGAGATTTCTTCATCTAGTGAAAAGTCGAGCTATTTTTCAGAACTTACCATTTCTTTTCATTGGCCAGATTCAGTTGATTCTCAACTACAGAGACTATTCACGACTGCTTCATCTGTTCTCATGGCCAACATTAGCATGGACTGCCTGGAACATCTCGATTCACTCGAGGTACATTGTTTCATTTCGCCAGAATTGCAGCACTAATCCAATGAATCTGGAACCATCCCATTTTCTTTTCTCTGATTCTCATTCACTAATGCTTCTGACGAATTCAAAATGCAGTTGCTTCCATCTAGTATCCCGGACCTGACAACTGGAGCTCCATTGCTAGTGTCTGGGAGATACGATGGGACTTTCCCGGAGTCCGTCAAAGTTACAGGGACTTGGGCAGATATGACTAATTTTACTATGGATTTGAAAGTGAAAAGAACGAAGGATTTGCCACTAGATAGAGTAATGTTCCTCCGAACTTTCGGATTCTCAACTCTCTTTTCTGATTCACCAAAGCTTGGTCTGAAGTTATTCATATTCCTTGCTTTTCTTGTAGGTGCTTGCTAGGAGACAGATCGACTTGCTAACTGCTACGACCTGGCTATCACAAAGTAAAGAACTTCAGGAGAAGGTTCGCTTCAGAACTTTCTAATCATGCTCATCCATTCAAAGCCACTAATGCAGTAGTAACTAAATTTCCCTTTTCAGGTTGCCAAAATGAGCATACAGAAAGGGATTCCATCTGAATACACCAGTATGATTCTGATTTACACTGACAAAGGAGAGAAACCACCAGAAACCCATCTAGTAATGGAGGTACGTATACATAACACCACAATCCATTTCCCTAACATCCTTCATAACTTCAAACTGAAGTGGGTAAAAATAAATTTGATCACCAAACTCTTCTGTATTCAATGCTGACCAAATGCTCAATATTGTACTTTAAGCAAGCTTTAACATTTCACATCCTACAACTTCTTCTCCTGATCAAAACCAGGTATTCAGCAAACTGAACTCACTCAAGAGCCTGCAGCTGGGGACAGAATCAGCAGAGAAGCAGAACATCTACCTAGGAAGCAGCTTAGGCATTGGTTTCGGCAACCTAGTCGCCACAGCTCGGAACACTCCTCCTGGAACCGAGGAGGGGAAGCAGCCAGACGCCGCAGCGAAGCTGGTGAATGCTGCTTCCAGCTGCTGTGCCGTGGTGGCCGATCGCTTATGTTGCATGTGCTTCATCAGGGCTTGCTCGCACACCAGCAACCAGTGCTCCATCTTGGCGTCACAAATCTGCGCCGCGCTTGCTTGCTTCGAGTGCATCAGCTTTTGCTATGAGATTTGTGCTTGTGAGTGAGTGAGTGAGTGAGTGAACACAATTGAAAGGACCAAAATGAATGAATGTGCAGGCTATTTATGTTTGTAACTTGTACCAGTAGACAATGTAAATCATCTTCCCAAGTTGGTATAAAAGATTGTTATTGATAATTTGATATCAATCAATGCAAATACTCTTTGCATTAATCAGGGTACTAATTAAAGCATTCAGCTGCAAGATAACTTGTATGCAATGAATAGCCAGCAAAGCAAGGAGACCCCGAGGATAATTCTGCGGCCACCGTGGTGATAAGTCAATAGTGGGCAAACAACATCTTCAACTTGCAGAAGAAACAAGAGCAGTCTGTGGTACAAGTAGCTAAAAAGTCTAGAAATACCACTCTCGGTTGACCAATCCAATCCATACATTCACCAATCCAATTTATTTAATATACCTGTTGATGTCAGGGTTGCAGCAGACGTCGAGTTTTTTATGTTGAGCACCGGAGTTGGTCGACGGCCACCTTTCACCTCGAACTTCTCTCGGAATGTTAGCTCCGGTCGTCTCCTGCAAAAAGGGTCCGCCAATCGATCTCGACGGGGACACTCTCTGACGCTCAAGTTAGTGAGGGGATTGAGTGGAGAGGAATATGACCTCGAAATGAAAGATGAGGGAATGGAGTTGAGAATGAATGTATGCGCTAATCATAGCGAGAGTTCATGAGTTGCTTACCTCAATCTGGAGACAAAGTGGCCTTTTATAGAGGCCTCCAGGCGGACATGAAGGGAGTATGTGTCTCCCTCAAGAGCTTGGTGGTGTCGAGAGAGGACACGTCGCGTGGGTACGTAGCTAAAGGTTCTGGGTGACTTGGGGTGGGCGGAGAGCCCAAGGTGGTCGAGGTTACCCGAGGTGTGACTCGCTCTAACTACAACATCTCAATCGCCGGACAAGTATAACCGCCGACCGGGTGTAGCATAGGGAAAGTAAGCAATAATAATTTATTGTACCACGGGGATCTAAGCTTACCCTACTTCAGGTTTAGGGTTCGTTATCTAGCCAACCTAGGATAGTGATTAATAAAACTAAACGGCTAAAGTAACGACCTAACCCTTTTTCAAATAACCTAGAATGGTTCCCCGGCAACGGCGCCAAAAGTTTGACTCGTTCTAACTACAACATCCCAATCGTCGGCCAAGTATAACCGCCGATCGGGTGTAGCATAGGGCAAGCAAACAATAAAAAATCGTACCATGGGGATCTAAGCTTACCCTACTTCAGGTTTAAGATTCGTTATCTAGCCAACTTAGGATAGTGATTAATAAAACTAAGATAACTAACCTAGACTAACCACTAACCTAGCTATTTACAAGGTTTAGAGCTCTCTTGGGTTGAATCCCTATAGTTTCGACCTTTTTGATCGATGTTGAGTATCCTCCTAGCTTAATTGACTCAAATACTCTACCGTTAGAAGATGGACTCACTCGGGAATGACCCGGAACTGAGAATCGATGGATGGGTAGGTGCTCTTTTCAACCTAGGGTTTCATATATTGCTAGGAGACCGATTGAATCAACTCCCTCAGGGATTACTCGGACAATATACGATAGGAGTGACCCAAAGATGCCAATAATGGGCTCTAAAAGGATTTTCTCCCTCCTAGGTCAAAAGCTCAATGCATGAAAATGGAAACCAAACTCATGCCATTCATGAAAACATCCATCAATTAAGTAAAATCAAACATGAAATTTGTCACATACATCAACAATGAAACAAAATCTAGAGCCAGGGTTCTTAAACCCAAGAGAAGAGGGTGAGTTTCTAGAGAAAGAAGAGAGAGATTACAAATTGGGGAACAAAATCTTCTTCTTCTTCTAGGCTTGAATCCTTGTCTTCAAGATCAACCCAAGCCTCCAATTAACCTCCAAGATAACTCAAGTACTCTCTCTCTCACTAGAACTCCCCTTTGGTGTTTTGGGTTGAAACCTTAGATAAAGAAACTATTTTCTCTCCAAAAACCAGCTCTCTTTTCTCTCTCCCCGCTACTATCTTTAATTTTTACCGACAGGGCCCAGTTCACGGCCGGGTGCTTAAGTTCACGGTCTTAGACAGTGAACTGACGACTTCACAGTCTGGGCTTTTAGTTGACGATCTTAGAGACCGTGAATTGACTTGATGCTAGTAACTTCCAAAACCGTTCTAGAAATTGGTCACTTCACGGTCTGGGCTTTTAGTTCACGGCCTTAGAGACCGTGAACTGAAGCTCCAGCCCGTGAACAGGGCTCAACCTCCACTTTTTGGCTCGTTTTGACCTCCGAATGACCCGAAACTTATCTCGGACCTTCCCGCACGTGCTAGGACCTTAAATGTACCAAAACAAGCACAACCTAACGTAAAATAGGTCGAGGGACGGTGATCAAATAAGCATAACAGACAAGAAATGAGGGGTAAAATGTGTACATTTGGACCCGAATCAGGGTGGCTGACCACGGGGGTGACTGGAGTGACACCGGGGTGGGCTAGGTGACCCGAGATAGTTGACTCCAGGGTGGCCAGAGTGACCCCAATTTGACCCAGGTGATTGACCTCGGGTGGCTGGAGTGGCTGCGGGGTGGGCTAGATGACCCGAGGTAATTGACCCCAGGGTGGCCGGAGTGACCCCAAGGTAACCTAGAGTGATTGACCCCGGTGGCTGGAGTGACCCCGGGGTGGGCTAGGTGACCCGAGGTAATTGACCCAGGGGTGGCTGGAGTGACCATAAGGTGACCTAGGGTGATTGACCCTATATGGCTGGATTGACCCCGGGGTGCGAGGGTGATTGACCCCAGGTGGCCGGAGTGACTCCGGGGTGGGCTAGGTGACCCGAGATAATTGACCACGGGGTGGCCGGAGTGACCCCAAGGTGACTCAGGGTGATTGACCCTAGTTGGCCGGAGTGACCCCGGGGTGGGCTAGGTGACCCGAGGTAATTGATCCCGGGGTGGCCGAAGTGACCCCAAGGTGACATAGGATGATTGACCCCAGGTGGTCGGAGTGACCCCGGGATGGGCTAGGTGACCCGAGATTATTGACCCCGGGGTGGCCGGAGTTACCCCAAGGTGACATAGGATGATTGATCCCAGGTGGTCGGAGTGACCCCGGGATGAACTAGGTGACCCGAGATAATTGACCCCGGAGTGGCCGGAGTGACGCCAAGGTGATCCGGAGATGGAATTATCAAATAAAATTTTATTTAGGATCCACCAATACCAATCTATTAATCCAATCCATTTACCAACTCCTCAATTGGTTATCAAAACAAATAATTTCTTCCTAGATAGTACAAATACTGATTCATTAATCCACAGGGTACGTACCAACATTGATATAAAGAAGTCAACGTGCGAAATCCACCGAAGAAAAGCAACAAGATGGCATGTAAATATGTTAGTCAAAAAGTAATAAGCAAGATGATTACCTTTGCCATTTGATTTCCTCTTCAAGAGTAGAACTACTTCGTGACCGCCAATGAAAGTGGATTCACAGGTGCCCAGAGTCTGGTAAATATGGTCACCACTCTTCTCACTATAGCCTTAAAAAGTTAGTTAGTATATATAAAGCTAAATCAATTTTACTCTTGCCTAATAGATTTGCTAATCTTACATTGCTGTCAATCTTTTTCTTAACTGTTAGCTAACCTGCATGTAATTCTTTTTTTTTTTTTCTTCTAAGTTTCATTAAAATCTGTTTGAGAGAGCTTTGGGTTATCTTCTCTATCGTATTTCTCCACTTTGGAGAAACTTTGCAAGCGGTTTAATTTTTATCTACATGTAGAGGTTTAATTAGCTATGATTAATATTGCGTTTGGTCATTTGGTTTATCATTTTGTTTTACGTTTCTTACTAAATTTTTATATTGTATTCGTGGTTACTAACTTTACATCTGTGTCTCACCAGTGGTCACCATTCATTCAATTTCGTTATAAAATACTACATTTCAGTCAACAATTCTATTTCGACCATCAAGTTAATGACATGTCAATAATAAGAATAAAAATTTATTATTAATTTTCACCTCATCTCCTCTTTCTCGTTGTCTTTAGAGGCCAAATCTAGGCATTCACGAGCACGTACAACATTATCCTTCTCCAAATTATCAAATCAGAACTTTTGTAGCAAGTGTAAATTAAACGCTTGAATTCGATGTTGCCTACTCATGTCTTCTCCTCATCGGCCACCTTCTTTAATCCTTAGTTTTGTTCAAGAAACTATGACTACTTCACTTCTCCAAAATAAAATAAAAAAACTTAATGTCTGCTAGATTAGCATAAATCAAAAGGATTGAAATACAAAGTCTAGATGTGGTTCATCGGGCAATTGACCTTGGCAAACGTAAAATGAATTGATAAACCGAATATCCAACGTATTAGTAATGTATGATTTGAGACTAGCCATTAAATCAAGTGAGATAACCGGGACACTGGAGGTCAAAGGAAAGAAATGAAAGATTTTCAACTAAGGAGTAACGAGAAGGCCGGTAATTGCAGCCAAAGAATAGCTATAACCGGCAGTGGCAGAGCCACTTGTGGTCAAGGTGGGTCATTTGCACCACATTGGCCCAAAAGTGCAGAGTAATATTTTTTTTATGTGTATCTCTATATTATTGTATATAATTTTATAAAAGAGGAATGTTTAGTGAATATTTGTTGCGATATCTTAACATTCTTCATAATTTGTATGATAATTGTATTTTAGAAAATTTTCAGAAGATGAAACACACCCTGAAACTTAGGTTATATATTTGTTTTCCACATTTGACCTACGTTAAATAAATTTCTGGCTACGCTACTAATAACGGGCCTTTATTTTCTCTTTTGTTTTTTCTAACTGCTAGCTATATTTCTCTGCTTACGAACCCTTTTATTCGAATAAATACAAGTTCTCTGTTTCACCTAATCAATCGATTATTAACACAAACATGGCAACACATGGAGCATAAGTGATGGTTTTGTATAAATAATGATTCTCTTGAAAAATAATCTCTCCTTAAAAGAACCATTTTGAATCTTTAAGTTTGTTTAACTGTGGGTGTCAGGCATTGTTGGATTAACAATAATTACACGCTTTATTGGTTGCCACAGCAAAGCGTGGGGTATATGATCTAGTTATTATATATAAAAGTGAAGTTAGTTTACTGTTGCATAAATTTTTTCATTTTCATACCTCAAATTTAATTAAACCACAACTTAATCATCATAATATACATTATACATTTTGATACTCCAAATTTAAATAAAAACACAACTTAGTCATGTAAATTTTATATTTTCATATCCCAAAATTAATTAAACCACAACTTAGTCAATGTTGTTTTATGATAGGAAGTGAAGTTAGTTTACTGTTGCATAAATTTTTTCATTTTCATACCTCAAATTTAATTAAACCACAACTTAATCATCATAATATACATTATACATTTTGATACTCCAAATTTAAATAAAAACACAACTTAGTCATGTAAATTTTACATTTTCATATCCCAAAATTAATTAAACCACAACTTAGTCAATGTTGTTTTATGATAGGAAGTGGAAGAAAAAATGAGAGAGAAAAAGTATATTCACACAAGTGTGATGAATATGTTATCTGAAGGGTTAAAGGTCGTCCTAAAAATTACTAACGGTCGTCCTAACTTAATACGTAAATTACAGAATTACCCTTTTTAAAATTCAAAAACAAACCCTAAACAAACAACCCCTTCCCACTTCCTCTCCCCAACCTTTTGGACGAACCCCACGCCGCCGCAGGCAGCAGAGAAGTCGTCCGACCCACTGCCCCACGCCGCCGGCGTTGGACCTGCTGCCCCACGCCGCCACTCCGGCCACGCCTCCAGTCCCGTCAGCTGCGCCGTCAGCCGCGCCGTCGTCGCCAACCACGCCTCCAGTCGACGTCCGCAGCTTCGTCCTCCACTCGCCGTCGCCGTCAGCCCCTCCTCCCAGCCGCGTCGTCGCCAACCGCGCCAGTAGTCGCCGTCGTCGCCAACCGCGTCGTCAGTCCTCGCCGGAAGGTAAGCATCTCCCCTCCCTTCAACCGAAGCGGCCGTTCGGTTGGCCCTCGGTCAAACCGAGGTCAACGTTCGGTTGGCCTTCGGTCAAACCGAGGTCAATTTTCGTTTGGGCCATGGCCCAACCGAAACCCGAATGGCACTGACTAATGCCTTAGACTAATAGGGGACTGAGTTTGCATCTTTTGTGTTTTAATATTTGTTTGTGAATTAATTTCGATCTTCTTCCTCTTCTTCTTTCTTTTTGCATTTGGTGTTCTTGATTGCGGAGGAGTAAATGAGAGGAGACAGAAGACGAATTTTTTTTCTCTTCCTCCTTTTGTTTCCCCTTCTTTGAGAATATATATTGATATTACCACACTATACCATATGGTAATGTGTGCTAACTAAATGTATTTTTATAGTCACGAGTTTTATCATGGTGGTAGTGGGTGGTAATCGACACTAGTTCCGACAAAGAAGAGTTAGAAGACAATGAAGGGAGATAAGAAAGTGAAGAAAGTCGTAATTGTATATATATATATATATATTGAGATTACCACACTATATCATATGGTAATGTGTCTATACCATATGGTAATGTGTGGTAACGAAATATATTTTTATTAATATAATGTTTTTACTATATCGTAGAGGGTTGTAATTAGATTTACATGGTTTTACCTTCTCATACCATAATGTTTTTACTATATCATATGGTAATGTGTCGTCCTCCACTCGCCGTCGCCGTCAGCCCCTCCTCCCAGCCGCGCCGTCAGTCCGCAGCGTCGTCGCCAACCGCGCCAGCAGTCGCCGTCGTCGCCAACCGCGTCGTCAGTCCTCGCCGGAAGGTAAGCATCTCCCCTCCCTTCAACCGAAGCGACCGTTCGGTTGGCCCTCGGTCAAACCGAGGTCAACGTTCGGTTGGCCTTCGGTTAAACCGAGGTCAATTTTCGTTTGGGCCATGGTCAAACCGAGGTCAAGTTTCGGTTGGGCCATGGTCAAACCGAGGTCAAGTTTCGGTTGGGTCATGGTCAAACCTTGGTCAATTTTCGATTGGTTTGATATTTAAATAATTTTAATGCAATTAATTAATAAAAATTGTTATTAAATATTCTAAATTAGAAATAATTAGAAATAAATTGTAGTTAATTATAAATAAGTTGTACAGTTTATAATTAATTATAAAAATTATATTCGAATAGTTTTATGAATTCAATTATGAAAAAAATATTGTGAATAATGTAAAAAAATTATTAAAAATTATTTGAAATTTTTAATTAGTATCAAAATTTAGAAATATAATCTGTAAATTTGTAATTAATTTTAAAAAAATATTAAAAATAATGGGAAAATTATAAAGTAGCCGAAATTAGAAAAAATGACTCGGAAAGTTGTAATTAATGTTAATAAATTATCATAAAATTACAAAAAAAATAGAGAAAATTATCAAAAAATGTTTAATGCATTTGATTAGCATTAATTGTAATTTTTTTTTTGAAGATGTCTGGACATGGAATAGGCAAACCGTACATGAATAAGAAAAGAATGGAAGAAAAAACGTAAGGGAGAATGGAAGGTCGTGCTTGTAGACTTACAGCGACCGGTAGAAAAGAAAATGAAGAAAAAAATCCACGTAAGGTTAAGGGGAAGAAGAAGAAGGCGGAAATAGGGCGTCCCGACGGTCGCCCTACTATGGGACAGTTATCTCTTAGTCGAGGTACTACCTCCACCCCTACTCCTGAGGATGCGATGCCGTGGGAGGCTAATTGGAGTGATTCAGTTTCTATGAACGACGACGAGGATGATGATGATGATGATGTGGCTGTTGATGAGGTTGGGGATGTCCCACCTGAATCTGATGTAGGCATCGGTAAGAAAAGACGAGTTGGGACATCTTCTACAGCTTCTTCGCACTTTTCACAGCGTGGGCTAGATGGAGCTACGTTGCGAGACGTAGTAGTGAGGAAGACGGTGATGGTAAGAAGAGGAAGAAGGGAGTAAGGGGGGACATGTCGTGGCGTCTGACATCGGAGTGTCAGATGTGTTCAGGTGGACCTGTGATTCCGGATGTGATCCCTAGCTTTGGAGGTCACATTGCCTTTGCATTGTGGACTTCCCCAGCGCAGGATCGTGGGTTGTTGGATTGTTGTCATAGATCTGGTAGTGTGGAGTCTTTGAGGAGATATGAGTGAAGTTCAGAGGGTTCTCGGAAGGTGGTTGAGGGTACAGGATTGTCCCACTTGGCAGGGTGTATGATGCAGCATTTAGGTACAGCTTTGATAACGGCATTTATGGAGAGATGGCAGCCGGACACGAACACCTTCCATATGCCATTTGGAGAGATGTCGATTCTTCTCCACGACGTGCATCACATTCTTCGTATTCCAGTTGAGGGGGAGCTGATGAGAGATGATCCGCATCCAGATGTTCTTAAGTTAGACATGCATGATCTAGTTCGGGTCCCGGTGGATGGTCCTGTTGGTGGTAAGTGGAAGTCGAAGTGGTTCCTTAATGGTGGTATACACGCAGAGGGATTGTTGGTGCGTGGACGAGAAATGAAGATTAGGGACCTGGAGGTGCAGACTTACTTGTTTGTGTTGTTGGGATCCACACTTTTTGTGGATAAGAGTCGCGATCGCCTCCGTCCTGCGATCAATGTATTTCTGAAGGACCAGCGACGAGTGGCCGGTTACGCCTGGGGAGCTGCTACACTCGCCTATCTTTACAGACAGCTAGGGATGGCCACACGAGTGGGGAGTAAGAGTATTTTTGGTTGTTTGACTCTGCTTCAGGCGTGGATATATGAGTACTTTCCACTCTTCCGTCCGAGCCAGATTCTCCAGGCTCCAGATGCTCCTCGTGCTTCCTCGTGGGTGTGTCACCGCTTTGCAGGTGGTGATGATGCTAGACAGCGCTTGGTACGGTATCGACAGATGTTGGATGAGATGTCAGGGGAGGATGTGTCTTGGACTCCTTACGGGCGAGATGCTGGCACGGAGGTACTACGCTCTTTGTATACTGGTGTCATTCGCTTTGCTGACGTTGCTGAGGGTTATGATCCTGCACGGTGTCGCCGACAGTTTGGGTACCGACATACTATCCCCCGTACGATGATGGTTCCCAAGGATGTGTACCGCCCAGCTTCTTGCAGCACCTACATAGTTTTCTGGGAGGGTAGCATGGATCAGTTATGGGGAAACTTGCCGTCTCATTTTCTACACATAGCGATTGATTCTGACTTGTGCGAGTATCCATCTGAGGCCGATGAGGATTACATGGACTGGTACAGGACTCGATCGCACCCACGGATCATCAATCCGGACTCTGGTGGAGTGTCTCTACAGCGGCCAGTGCTAGTCGATGAGGTTAGTTATGTCATAATTGTTCAATTTTTAATGTATTGTTAATATGCTTTTTTCCATTCATGACATTATTTTTGTATTTACAGTTGAGGAAGCAGATTGTGGAGAAGCTTGGTCCTGTGTTGGCGGTGAGGGACAAGGATCACTATGTGGAGCATGCATCTGAGTACTACGATATGATGAGTGAGGTTCACGAGTTGTATGACCAGTTAGTCGGAAAGACTCCTTAGTGGAGTGTGGCATTTCTAGATTGTTATCCTTGTACTTTATTTTTGTTTGGAATTGCTAGTTTGACTTTGCCCGTGAGATGATCTAACTTTTGGAATTTTCAGATGATTGGAGTTTGTTTCTTTTCCATTTCTAAAATAGTAAATCAAGAGTTGCATCAAATACAATAACTACAACTACATCTAACCATCAACCGGCTGGGTTTAATCTATCATAAAATTGGTGTTCTTGTGAGAAGAATTGGTCCCAACCATGGACACTAGGATCATGATAAATAGGCCAAAGCCCATTAATCGGAGGCAATGGCACTTGACCAGGTCGAAAGTCAAGACGCACCCAATGACATCCCGTAAAATGTAGTGATACGATCCCACGTGGTCTTGTTACTCCTGGTGGGGCAATCACAGGTAGCACGGTATAACGACCTCCTTGACTATAGACAGCAATTACCCATGAATGCAATGTGGCAAAGACGAAAAGCTCCACATTATCCATCCAGTGGGTAACGCCACAACCACGATCTTGAGTCCACCTGCAACGCCGAAGCCCATTATCTATTCCGTCGGAAATTCCATCGTAGTATGGTCTGTAAAGCTCAGGTCGGGCTTCAAGCTCTTCTACAACGACGCGTCTCATATGCAACCAATTGTTTTGGGACCCGGTAAGTGCTTGTGATATTGATCGAAATCCGCAATGTCCATTCGGTTCTGGGTTGAACCAACAATGAATGTATGGTTGCACGTAAGTTTCCAAACAATACAACCACGGGTAACTCCGCCAACCAGTATTGGGAGTTCTGATAACCCTCCAAGGGGCACCATGTGTCCCAAAATACACAACACAATGAATTAATACAAGATGTATACAACATCTAATCATCTAAAATAGGGACACTACTTCTAACCTGTATCATTATGAGTATCCGGCTCCGTCCCATTCGTATTTGTGGACTCGAAGTTGGTGTCTGCATCAGGGATACCACCTATTATCATTTACAAAAATAAGTTAGTTATACATCATATTCTACACAATTGAACATAAATTTCCCAAAAAGTACAACCTACCTGTCCTCTGGTCATTGTCCGGTGTTGTGGTCGAAGGTATCGAACTTCTCCTGCCCCGTCTCCTCTCCACATGCTCGAAATGAGATAGGTTTCGCGTGGTGGATGTCCTCGGGCGACCGGGTCGGGGCTGCCCCCCATGCGGCTCATCAATGCCATCATTTTCAGGATGAAGATGACTCCGAAGTAGGCCAATAGCCCCTCGAATGGTCTCATCTCCCCTATCAAGAACCTCCTGTACTAGACCTTGGAAGACATCACGATGGTAAAGACTATCGTCATCCCACTCTGCCCGAGTAGGAGGTTCACGATAGTTCATAATGGTCCAAAAAGCTAACACCTCATATGGGGCAATGTCCCGCTTTTCAGAACGTGCTAACTGCATTGCACATCTACATGGGAGACCAAAGATAGCAGGAAACGTACATGTACAACTTGCTCCTTCCACTGATACCTCAATGAGCATCAACCTCATAGCCTGTAGAGTGACGTTTGTATGCAAAGAGGTGACAAGTACCTCCAAAGAGGTGGATACTGTACTCCCCAACTACGCCTGAAACTGTCTAAAGCTCTATTCATGCCTTCCTCACTGCCGACATATACAATCCTTTTCCAAGACGCCATGATCAGATCCACTGTCGGTTGGGCTGCATCTATCCCACAATGAGACGTCCTCCTCACCTCCGTTAGACACCGTGCTCTCACATTCCTGTCTACATGCCAAAGGCATAGTATATGGGTCGATGATGGAAACATTACCCCCACGGTCTCAACCAATCCTCCTGCTTTGTCACTAACAAATACATCTGGAGTGATAGAGCCAAGCAAATGTTGCAGATGCGTGAGAAGCCACTGGTACGACTCTTTTGTCTCGTCATACACTAGCGCAAATGCAATGACAAAGTTCAATCCCACCGGTGTCATGCCAACAATCTCAACCCATGGAAACTCATACTTGTTGGTCTTGTATGTTGCATCTATCACAATGACATGGTGCCAAGCTCGCAACATCAATATTGATTCCGGGTGGGCTAGGAACAAGTGTGTAAGCACGTTACGGTCATCCACATACTGCACATAGTAACCCTTCTCCCGAGCATCTTGAAAAGTGTACTGTAAGGCCGTCCTCTGACCAAGCTCTTCTTTTCTTATCTTATACAATGCGTTAGAAATCTGTCTTTTGTTCACCTTTCCATGCTCCTCTTTTCTCTTGTTCACTGCCTTGTGGATATTCCTTGGGGCGACACCGGCTAATCTCAGTTGTCTGATGTATTGCTTATCATCTTCGGTCAAAACATTCCTCTTACTTGATCCATTCGGAAATAGCTCCAGCGGATGATTGTGAAAACCCAAATTAGCACCAGGATTCTTTTTATTAGCCACTGCTAGTATCAACCAATATCCATCATCTGACCGCTCAATCTTGATCTGAAATTCACACCCCAACTTTCCAGAAGAAGTAAGAGACCTCCTTTCCTTAGCCGGATCAGAATCAGGAGCCTTCGATTTTTTCTTCCTACCATGAGTGCACTTCAAGTATCGTCGCCTACTATCTTCATTTGGATTTTTTTTATTTGATTCCTTCACCAAATAAAACCCAAAACCCTTGGCAATCTCAGTAGTTGCTGCATATGCAATCAAATCCGTATCGTATTTTACTCCATTGACGAATTCTGAGGTGTAATCTTTGCCATCCCCTCCGTAATCATCAATATCCTACAATGTTAGATCTCATGATATAAGTAGGACTCCACAATAATAGAAAATCTAACGACTACATTTAATTTAACAATTATCACAAATAATTTAGCATTCTGAATATTCTCCTAAGCAAAATCCAACATTTAACATGACAAAATTTAGCATTCTCTATTATTTACATAAGAATCATATTAATCACATTCTAGAATTTTTTTATTGCGTATTATACATCTAATCTTAATTTTGTATACATAAACATTCAATTTCACAAATAATTAGGCTCATAAATTTTAAAAATAATATAAACTAAAATTCAACAAACAATCATATAGACCAAACTATAAATCATAACAAAAAAATAGAAATATTTGATATAAACTTAAAAAAAACCCAAAAGTCACCAACCGAAGCAAATTTTCGGTTCCACCATGGCTTAACCGAAGCCAATTTTCGGTTTCACCATGGCCTAACCGAAGGCAGGGTTCGGTTCTACCGTGGACCAACCGAAACCAATTTTCGTTTCACCCATGGCCCAAACAAAGCAGATTTTCGGTTCATCCATGGCTCAACCGAATGTGATTTTCGGTTGGTCCATGGTTCAACCGAAACCGATTTTCGGTTGAACCATGAACCAACCGAAAATCACATTCGGTTGAGAATTTTTGGTTTTTTTTTTTTAAATGAGATTTTTACCTCGCCGGAGTCGCTACTCATTGTTCGGACGTATGCTCGACGATTTCGGCTTCCAAATGTCGATGATGAATTCAAGAGTGTGGGAGAATGAGTGTTTTTTGCTTTCTAAGTGAAGGTGGTGTTTGTTTGCTAAAGGAAAGGTAAACATGTTAAAAGGGTAAAAGTGTAACTTTGTTGTTTTTTAGGACGATCATTAGTAATTGTTAGGACGACCTTTATCAACTCCCATATGTTATTGGGTATGCCTATGATGATATGCAAGTTAACGTAACTTGGAGAAAACGGTTGACCTCTTTCACCAGGTGGTCTATCACTTGAGTCAACAGGTTTATCATTTTCATAAATGGGTCGACCTGATGACACACTGAGTTTCAAGCGATTGACCTCTTCCACCAAATGGTCGACCAATTCCACCAAGTGGTCCACCACTTGACTCAACTGGTCTACTGCTTCTGAAAATGGGACGACCTGATGACACACTTACTTTCAAGTGGTCAACCTCTTCCACCAAGTCACTATAATAATTTAATATAAATCACAACTTAGTCACTATAATGTACATTTTGCATTTTCATATCCAAGATTAATTAAAACACAACTTAGTCGCTATAATGTAAATCATTGAACAATTATGTTTTAGTATCTAAATTTTATGAGATTTTCGTACATACAATTTTTTAAATTTACATATTGGTCCAATGTTTTGATTTCACTTGAATCCTTGAATCCAATCCACCAATCTTTTTGAACCAATATATGAATTCAATCCACCATAAAATAAAATTAAAAAAATTAGTTTCATACTCCAAATTTAGTTAAACCATAACTTAGTCACTATAATTTACATTTTATATTTTCATACCCCAAAATAAAGTAAAACACAACTTAGTCACTATGATGTATATTTTACATCACCATAAAAGGAATTAAGCATCAACTATGTAAATTACAGTTCTGTACCTAAATTTAATACATATTTATATTTATAACATAAATTTTCTTTTTGGCATATAAGTCCTCAAAATATTGATGGAACATTACATTTTAGTACCTAAAATTTTGTGTATTGCATTTTGGGGTTGAAGTTCCACAAATAGGTCTAATTTGTGTATGTGTAATTAAAACACATTCGAATAAATGGGTATCCATGCCCAACTCATACACATTTAGCTTATGGAAGTAAATATCCATACCCTACCCAAACTCATCTACAAACTTCCAAACCCATACATACACCACCCATAATGCTAAGAAAACACCATAACATGCCACATAATAAATGCCCATAGGCCATCTTCACTCCGCGACAAAGACGCGCCATCTCCACCTAGTTACATATAAAGACAATACAACCATAGTACT